CGGTTTCACTAAAGAAATTATCAGGTAGTAAAGCAGTTCAGGCAATAAAGTAGTTTGTCATATATATTCCTTTTAATTATTATGATCTGCCTTGTAGCAATTATCATTTGCTTTATTGCAGATAACAGTTAATTGGTAGATAAGTCACTAGGCAAATAAGGAAAGCTGTACGCTTTAGCTTTTTAGATTGAAGGTACGCAATCAGGTTCATGGGTAACTTCCTGTTTTGTTGGTTTTAGCTTCCATTGAAAAGAAAGCTTTCTTAGATTTTAAAAAACAATTTAATATAACCATTCAGAAGAGATGTGATTTTGTGTGTGTGTGTGTGATATAAAATATTTCACTGTCTACAATACATTAATTCTGTAATTTTGTTCATATCTCACTGATTGTACGGCATACTGTACGTAACCTTTTTTCTTCCGCTTGAGAAGAGGAAACCTCTGGCATTCATGTAAACAGAAGCAGCTATTAGATATTTTTTCTACAGACCACACTTAAAAATCACCCATTTCTTGCTTTGTTTAAACCAGAATATTCAAGTCTGTGTTGTTTTCTCTCTTAATTGGCACCATACTGGTTCTGGTCTCATTTGTTCAGATATGCAGATTTCAACAGGGCCCCATTATTTCCTTAAATACCCTCCTCTTTTGGTGTTCAGTTGGCCTCATTCACTTTATGGCCATTATTAATTCCTTTTTTCATTGGTAAAAAGCATATGCATATCATAGCGTCTGGCATGCCTACTTTGAATTCTGTCTTGATATAATTTGTTTTTCACCTTATAACGAATAGATTAGAATTGGGAACATAGTTCTGGAGAATCCGTTTTGGAGAATCATCAAACTTAGCAGAATAGGCTATTACTGTAGATTTTTTTTTTCTTTTGAAATCATAAGTCCACAGAAGCAAACCCCATATTATTTTTTAAATCCATTTAGAAGGTAAAAATGCCTACATAAAAATATCAGGCCACCTTTTGATGTATGGCTCTTCATCAGTATATAATTCACTAAGTCAGAGTACAATTCACTGTGTGTGTGGAGGAGATTGTGATGCCTTTTCATTTGGACCCTGAACACAGTTGTCACCATCTGTCCATGGTTCAGTCACTGACTGCCAGCCTAATTGATTAGGGAAAATTACCTACTTCCCATAAAAGGTGACATGTTCTTTCATGCTCTGAATATACTCCTAATGGAGGCCTGACATGGATGGCAGGATCTATTTTTGTTTAGCATTTGATCTATATTTACTGGTTGAAAGCCTGCATTTGTACTGCAGTATAGTTACAGGCTACCATGTAGCTCTTGTAACTAACAAATCTTTCTTTGTAATTCCATCTTATGGTCTGAAGGCCTGAATCTTAACGCTGGTTCTACCCAGCCAGTAATAGTGCTTGGAGGTAGTTGCTCATTGTGAACATCTGATATGAGGTGCTCAATTGCTGTTCCCCTCTCATTATACACATTGCATAACCAGTTCTATGATCCACATCAGGCTGACTGCATGTGTCAGTCCCCTTGTTCCTGGTCAATAAATGAGCATGGGGACTTTTTTTACAAGGAATTTTGTGTTTGCTTTCACTTTTATATGTATTAATGTACCTGTCCAATTGCCATTTCTGGTAGCTAGTAATTATTTGGGGAGGGAATCTGTGGGGCTTACGTATATGAGAACATTTGAATAAAGGAAAGGGAGCTCTTCAAAGAAGAATCCTTCATAAAGAAAAGGTTTGAAATTCAAGTGATTTATCAGCAAGACTGTTGGAGGCAGACTTTTATAGATAACTTTGAAAGGCCCTTCATAGATAATTCTCAGATCTCATATTTAGTATTGTTTTAATCCCTTCTATTTATCTTTTTCCTTTATTAGGGATATGTTATACCTTTATGTATGAAAACATTTCTATTAGTAGGATGGTTTTCTATTCCAACAGCTTTATTCACCTGAAGTCATAACTTTTGGCTTGTGATGTTACTTCCAAGTAGCAATTCATAATCTTGCACAGATATCCCTTACTTTTGGTTGGCTTTAAAGTGGGGTGGGAAAGAAACTAGAAATGGATGAGCAGAATTGTTTGTTGAAATTTAGAATTGTTTACGCTATCATTAGAGTAACTCTGACAGCATTAAGTTTTAGATTCTGGATGCCTTTCTGGGTTTTTACCAGGGATTTGCCACTTTCAAGGTGTCATTAAGGACACAAGTAGAGAGGTACAGTTGCTTTCATGAGGCTTATGCTAAGGCATCATAATCCAGAACCTTTATGGCAGTGTTTCAACTTCTTTGCTGCCAGGAATAAAATTAATCCAAGGTGGAAGTGTCCTCTCCAGGAGCTCAAATCCTTCTTGGAATTGCTTTTCATTTCCCTTTTGGTTTCGCAACTAAGCATTTGCCATTTTTGGAAGACATTAGCTGTATCAAACAGTCCCCCAACCTTTTCCTTACTCATTTTAAATTGAAGTTAAGTAAGTCAATTCCAGGCAAGTAGTATATATTAGTAATGATTTTTGTCCTGAAGAACTACACTGACTTGAACAGTATGGAAGTGCTGATGCTGTTGCTTTGTATAAGAGCCCATAATGACAAAGTATTCTTGTCAGAGTATATAATGAAACTATAAATTGTTTTCATGAATGCTATGATGTTTGGTCTCTTACAGGACAAATTCAAAATCTATTTAGTACCACATCTCCTATATGTGAATAATATCAAGTTTTACAGTATGTGCAGTAGAAATATAACACTTCTTCACAGACATCCTCTCATGTGTTTGGTGAGAGAGTCTGACAGCACATTGTAAAAACTGAAGCAAGTTGTCTAAACCAGTGTTTCTTGTTATGTAAAGCCTCTGCTCAAATGCAATTGTAAGATCTGTAATTTGTATCATTAAGTTCTGCAACCTTTTTGCAGACTTCGTAACTTCAGGTATTGTTAGCATAGCCTTTTAAGTTTTGTAACCTTTGCAAGCTCTGTAACCTTACCACTTGTATGAACTTCCAAGCTTTGTAATATCCCATCCCTCAGAGAGAGTGTGAACAAGGGAGTGTATGTGGGACTGGGCGGAGAGGAGCTGCAAGGAGAAAGGAGCCCAGAGCCAGGTGTGTCTGATATAATCTGCCCTGAGAAGGCAATCACGAAGTGCTGTAAAGAGAAGAACAACCTGGTATGCATGAAAGGAACTGGTCCGGGAATGCTTCTCGGTGATGGACACAGAAGGAAAACTCAGTGTACGTGACAGGAGCTGCCCAGTTCCAGAAAAAGGAAGCAGACATGCACACAAGCAGCTGCTGCTCCTTGACCTGCTCAGCAGCCTGGATCCGTGACCGCAGGCGGACACACCAGATCTACCACGCTTCGGCTTCTCGGTCTCCATGCTGTCTCCAGTAACTCTCCGCCGGTGTAAGTGTGTGGGTGCATGAGTGAATGTGTGCGTGTATGAATAAGCTCCATCTCTTTTCTATCTGACCCAACAGCGGCATCGTAATAAAACTAATACAAGTGTGACCCTGGGTTGGTTTTTAGGGGAACAGAGGTAACCGTTCTCAGACTGGGGCCACTGCTTGTTCAGGGAAAGCCCCTGGCGGGTCGGGCTGGTTTGTTTACCTGCTGCGTCCGCAGGTTCGGCCGATCGCAGCTCACAGTTGCTGCGGTCCCCTGCTCCAGGCCAATGGGGGCAGCAGGAAGCAGCGGCCAGTTTGTCCCTTGGCCCGCGCCGCTTCCTGCAGCTCCCATTGTCCTGGAGCTGCGAACCGTGGCCACTGGGAGCTGTGATCGGCTGAACCTGTGGTCGCGGCAGATAAACAAACCGGCCCGGCCTGCCGGGGGCTTTCCCTGAACAAGCGGCGGCCCTAGTTTGAGAACCACTGGTCTATTGAGAATTAAAATTCAGATATGGCAGAAAAGCATGATAAATGCATATATAATATATACATACACTTTCTCCCACTTTTTCTCTTAATATCAGGGGCTCAAGGGAAAGTTATGACTAGTACATAACTTTAACGGCCTGTACACCAGTGCTAGGAACCTGGGTAGTAACAAACAAGAGGAATTGGAATTGCTCATTTATTAGCATAAATTTGATCTCGCTGGTATTTCAGAAACCTGGTTTGATGATTCCCATGATAGGGATGTTACAATCAATTGTTAAAACCTATTTAGGAAGGATCAAGTGGGGGAAAGGGGAGGGGAGTGGCACTCTGCCAAAAATGGCATTACCTGTTTCTAAGTCCCTGATAACTCAAAAGAGAATGATCTGTAAGCATGCAGAATCAATGTCCAAACAGATAAAGCATAAGATGGGGTATTACTTGGTGTCTGCTACAGATGTTCTGCTCCCTAATGTGATTTGGATGACCAGCTCCTTATGCACATATCTATTGTGTGTAGGGGGGAAAAAAGCTGTGTGATTATGGAGAACTTCAGTCTACATGCTTGAGGTCTCATAGTGCCAATATTAAAAAAATGCTTGGAATTTCTAAATATTATGGATGACAATTTCCTAACTCAAGAAGTGTTGCAACCGATACCAGGGAATTCTATATTAGACCTAGTCTTGACAGATAGAGGAACTAATTACAGAACTAAAAATTAATGGTAATTTAGGTAATGATGATTGGGAATTCTTTAAAAACGTTTTACTATATGCCCAAAAAACCACCATCAAGGTTAAGCTGTGGAATTACCTAGCTGCTTCTGTGGATGGTGTGTAGGGGAAAAATGGCCAGGAAACTCTGTGACTTGAAACTGCTGGAATAATTTGACCCTAAGAGTTGATTTTAGGATTCTCTTGTCCAGCAAATACTTTCCCAGTGATTCTAGTATATTAAAGTCTACAGTTTTAACCTAGAAAGACACATACACAAACCTCTAAACCCTTACAGATAAATTGCTCTTAAAATATTTTCTTAAAGAATGCAAACTTAGTTTTCTCAGGTCAACACGGTCTTGTGAATTAATGCTTTGTCCGATTACTTTCCCTTTTCTCTCTTGCAGTATCTCATATGTAAAAGAAAGCTAGAAAGTAAAAAAGAAGCATTGCTGATACTTTCCAAGGAACTAGACACATGTCAACAGGAGAGAGACCAGTACAAGCTTATGGCCAATCAGCTGCGGGAACGTCACCAGTCACTGAAAAAGAAATACCGGGAGCTGATTGTATGTTACCTTATGAACATTGTAGTGATTTGGGCAAGAATGAACCTGAATTTAAAAAGTGTTTTCCTTTTGTGAGTGCAGTGTGTGCTGTAAAAATTAATTGTTTGCTATATTACTTCCAGGTGGTATGATCCCAATTCCACCATTATTTATTTGTTAAGCACTGATGTACTTGGCGCTATAAAAGTAGGCTTGGCAGGATTCGATTTAAATCGACAGATGTTGGTAAATGTCGGTTTCAGCTGCCACTCTGAAACCGATGATGGTAACAGTTGCTGTAGGTTCAACCTCCCCTCTGCACCTTGTGCCTGCAGGGATTGGTGTCACTGGCCCTGTGGCAGCACAGAGCCCTCTGCAGTCCTGCTGTCAAAGGAGTGAGTGAGTGAGTGGAGCCGTGACAATGGGCCGGTAACACTGGACCTCCGCAGATGCAAGGTGCGAGGAACACACAGGTCCTGGCGGGCAGAGCAAAGACCTCTGGCCAGAGCTGTAAGGAGAAGGACAAGCCTCTGGCCATGGGAGAGGCCACCTCACTGCTGAATGGCTCTTGCCCAGGGACGGAGCCATTCAGCGTGGGGTGATCTCCCTCCTCCCCCGCATTGAGTGGCTAGTCGTCGTCCTGGCAGCCCTGCCCGGAGATCTGTGCTCTGCCAAACCAGGACTGCAGCCTCCTCCGCACCTTGCACCCAGTGTCTTGGGCCCCTCGACAGCACAGAGAGCATCCTGCAGCTCTGCAGTGGAACCCCTCTGTAGCCCTGCTGTCAGTGCTGCCCTAACCCCTAACCTGCTCCCCTTAATTTCCTGCAACTGTAAAAATAAAAATAGTTAATTGAAGAAAATTAATTAATTGATTAAAAAAAACATTAAATTCTGCCAAGACTGTATATAAGGCACAAACAAAGACTGTTCCAATCCCAAGGAGATTAGTCTAAAAGTCACGCTACCATTTAAAAACTGACTGCAGTGTTATGCCATGGAGAACAATGCAGTAAATAAATCTTAACTTTCCAGTTCATGTTAACTTCAGAAGATTCTTGGAAGTGTCTTTAATCGAACTGCAACTTTTTGAAACCTAATTTTTGAAAACTATTGGTTCAGATACATTCTGGTGTGTTAAAGGCTCAGAGCCGCAAAGATTATATGGTTACCGATTTCCGAAATAAGCTGCTGATAAAATGCATCTCTTTATTTGTAGGATGGGGATCCCTCTCTTCCTCCTGAAAAAAGGAAACAGGTAGGCTTTTTCTGTTTTAGTTGGCATCATATATAAACTATTTTGTGAGAATTCAAACTCTTAATTATATTGATGTCAATAAAACAAAATCTGATACTCAAGTGGACATTCCAATTCACATTGGAAGACCATGAAGTCTTCAGTGACTCGTGCTTTCTTTTAAACATGTTAACTCCTGAAATATCTGAGCTATCATTAATAAACAGAGCAAATGGTTATGCCTATCATTTTACCTAAACTGAAATCAACAAGGATAATGAGAGTTGAGATTGCCTTCTTCATTTGTTTCTTATAGTTGGGTCCTAAAACAGGTGAACAATGGGGGCATCATGGTGTCAAAGGGGGCTTAGGAATGTGTTGAGTGTATACCAGTTACTTAGGTGCTCTTTCCAGTTGCATGCCCTCCTGGTTTTGGGAGGGTTTCAGTGGGGAGCTGTACTAATTGCTTATACTTATTTTAGGCCAGAGGTTCAGATACTGTGCTCAACAGAGTACTTGTTGGTCTGCAGAGAGTTGTCAGTTGCACGAGGATGGATCTTGGTTTCTACTGAGAAATACAAGAAATGGGAGGGTGTGTTGAAATGAAGAACAAAAATAACCATTGTAACTTCTCAAAAAGGGCAAAACATCTAGTGCACTGAAGACAGGCGAAAATACATGAATATTTTCCTGTTGTCTGTTATTTTTGTTTTTTTTTTTTTTTTTTTTTTTTTCCCCCCTGGGATATTACGTGAGCACAGATAGGAGGAAAGGTGGTCTGGGTGAGCCCAAATGAAAGGTGTCCATGAAACAGTCTCTCTAAGGTGTAGCCCACTCTATTGAGAGTTTGAGAATCCCCATTTTAGTCAGTCATCAGTCCCTCCTGGTGCCTAACATTCATATTAACAGCTTTTCCTTCTCAGTATCTACTGTAATTTACCATTTAAATAACCTAAATTCATATCCCTTTTAAATTCCAGAGGTGAAATCCCAATCCATATCCCCAAATGTTCAAAAATCAACTCAGGCCTAAAAAAATCACGAGATTGGCTTAGAAATCTTGACTTTTAAAAATAACAAATTATGGGTTCCTTTTTGTTTTGAGTCTCTAAACTTCACTCAGGTCACATTTTTTCTGCAACCTACAGAGCTTAAAACTTCCTTTTAAAAATTTAAATTTTAAAATGGTAACTGAGATGTTCATAGAACCACTTGACTCCAGGAGCTGCCATTTTAGGAAAAAACACCAAATATGGTGAGACTTGTGATAAACTCATAAGTTTTGGCAACACTGCACAATACTTCCCTTCAAAATGGTCTACAGAAAAGTGAGAAGAATGCTGAAAATAACGTATGCAGGAAGGTTAGAAAACAGCGCTTAGAAGGAAGTACATTTTAAGGGCTAAAGATTTAAATGTACTGTAAATGCTGCCTATGTGCACGGGAGTGAATTAAAACCACATGTCAACTTCTATTTTGAGTTTACTGGCTCTATTGTGTTAGTGACACCTGTGGAGCTGCCGTTCCACATATGCATGTCAGCATGTGGAAGGGACACCCCTCCATGTTTACCTCCTCCTTTAACTTTAGATTAGAGGGCAGAGAGGGGAGCTGGCTCCTCTGTCTCAGATCTGGTTGGCCAGAGGACTGGGTCAGAATCCCACTCCTGCCTTCCCATTGCCAGGCTGCTTCCCGTTGGAGAAGGAAAGTGCCACTCCACAAATGGAGCTTAGCTCTGCCTCACTGGGGACGGGATTGGTTGACTATAGGCTACTTGGGTGGCAGAGGGGTGTTGCTGGGATAAGACTGGGTTTGGGCAGCAAGCACGTGCTGTTGCTGCAGGGAGTAGGTCTAAACACAGCCTTAACCCAGAGCTGGGATATTGGCCCACAGAGCAGGCTAAGGCACTCCCATAGCCAGGCTGGAGGAGTAGGTGAAACCCAGCAGAGGAAGCCCTGACAAGCATGGAGACCACTGGGCTGGACACTACAATATAGCAGCATCCAAGATTCACAACTTGGAGCTCACACCACACCCAAACATGAGTGATCAGTGCAGGGGACAAGAGATACCCTCTTTTGCGGCTAAGGGACTCTGACTAATGAAACACTTGGAGGAGAGGAAGGTGATTAGGAACAGTCAACATGGATTCACCAAGGGCAAGTCATGCCTGACCAACCTGATTGCCTTCTATGATGAGATAACTGGCTCTGTGGATATGAGGAAAGTGGTGAATGTGATATACCTTGACTTTAGCAAAGCTTTTGATACGGTCTCCCACAGTATTCTTGCCAGCAAGTTAAAGAAGTATGGATTGGATGAATGGACTATAAGGTGGATAGAAAGCTGGCTAGATCATCGGGCTCAACAGGTAGTGATCAATGGCTTGATGTCTAGTTGGCAGCCAGTATCAAGCAGAGTACCCCAGTGGTCAGTCCTGGGGCTGGTTTTCTTCAACATGTTCATTGATGACCTGGATGATGGGATGGATTGCACCCTCAATAAGTTCGTGGATGACGCTAAGCTGGAGGGAGAAGTAGATACGCTGGAGCATAGGGATAGGGTTCAGAGTGACCTAGACAAATTGGAGGATTGGGCCAAAAGAAATCTGATGAGGTTCAACAAGGACAACTGCAGAGACTTTAGGATGGAAGAGTCTAATGCACCGCTATAGGCTGGGGACTTACTGGCTAAGTGGCAGTTCTGCAGAAAAGGACCTGGGGATTACATTGGACGAGAAGCTGGATATGAGTCAACGGTGTGCCCTTGTTGCCAAGAAGGCTAACGGCATATTGGGCTGCATTAGTAGGAGCATTGCCAGCAGATCAAGGGAAGTGATTATTCCCCTCTATTCGGCACTGGTGAGGCCACATCTGGAGTATAGCATCCAGTTTTGGGGGGCCCCCACTACAGAAAGGATGTGGACAAATTGAAGAGAATCCAACGGAGGGCAACGAAAATGATTAGGGGACTGGGGCACACGACTTATGAGGAGAGGCTGAGGGAACTGGGTTTGTTTAGTCTGCAGAAGAGAAGAGTGAGGGGGATTTAATAGCAGCCTTCAACTACCTGAAGGAGGGTTCCAAAGAGGATGGAACTAGGCTATTCTCAGTGGTGGCAGATGACAGAACAAGGAGCAATGGTCTCAAGTTGCAGTGGAGGAGGTCTAGGTTGGATATTAGAAAAAACTATTTCACTAGGAGGGTGGTGAAGCATTGGAATGGGTTACCTAGGGAGGTGGTAGAATCTCCGTTCTTAGAGGTTTTTAAGGCCTGGCTTGACAAAGCCCTGGCTGGGATGATTTAGTTGGGGTTGGTCCTGCTTTGAGCAGGGGGTTGGACTAGATGTCCTCCCGAGGTCTCTTCCAACCCTAATCTGTGATTCTGTTTCTAAACTGCTTGCCTGTCCCCTTCACCTGTCAGAATCCAGTTTAAAGGCTAACTCCATTGTTACTCTTGGTGGCTGTTTCTGACTATCAAGAATTAGTCAAAAAGCTGAGCAGTGTGTCTACAACCCCTTGTCATCAGATTTGTGCAGGAAGTACTGCTGGCCTTTCGCTAAAGCGCTAAGAGCCATGAGTGAGAATCCTGAAAGATAACATCTTCAGAAAAGCAGCGTTTGGAGGTAAGCAATCATCCCTTATCTACCACACGGATGTTGTGAAGATTGATTAATGTGATTTCCCTTTTGTTAAGGGGGTCTGAAGATGAAAAGCACTACTCATGTGCCAAGTACTAGTAATAAAATGAGACCTACCAGCTTTGTTCTGGTTTGTGGGTGAGTGACTCCCTTACTGTGAAGGGGCAGATGGAAAACTGCAAGATTGTTTGTCCTTGTAATGCTTCAGAGAATAGTATTCTTGTATATTTCAAACTGCACCTGCTCAGAAGAATCCTGTCTGCAGAGTGGAAGGACCCTAGTTTCTGCATATCTTTAGTCTTATAGAAACAGGGCATTCTGTGTGTTGTGAACGTGTAGGTCGAAAACTAGGATTTTTAGCAATGTTGCAAGTCTTGTTCTGTAGGGTGACAGTGTTTTTGTTTTTCTCATAATGTAGTTTAAAAAGAAAAGGTGCACTGAGAAGTTGAATCTAACAATCGTGGTACCCGTTTTCAAAATGTTAGGATCTTTTCAGGCCCAACCCCTCACGCTCCCTGTGCTCCTCTGCTTTCTCCGTTTCTTACTTCGCTGGAATAGAGAACCCTTGCCCATGGATAAATTTTAATATCCTTGGAAAACACCCCAATGTTCATTAATCATAACATTCTCAAAAGGCTACAAAGATCTTGTTTTTCTATTTTACCTTCTACTTGAGGCAAAGTTGTTCATCTCGAATTCTGAAAGCAACTGAAATGACTCCCATAAAACAATCACATGAGAGGATTTTCTTGTCGGGCAATATGGAGGCCTTTATTTAAGCAGAAAATAATCCTGTTTAGCTAGATCTGACAAATATTTGACCCACTAACACAGGGATCGGCAACCTTTGGCACGTGGCCTGCCAGGGAAAGCCCCTGGCGGGCCGGTTTGTTTACCATCCGTGTCCGCAGATTCGGCCGATCACGGCTCCCACTGGCTGCGGTTCACCGCTCCAGACCAACGGGGGCGGTGGGAAGCAGCGGCCAGCACATCCCTCAGCCCGCGCCGCTTCCCGCAGCCCCCATTGGCCTGGAATGGCAAACCGCAGCCAGTGGGAGCCCCGATCGTCCGAACTTGTGGACGCAGCAGGTAAACAAACCAGCCCGGCCCGCCAGGGTGCTTACCCTGGTGGGCCACGTGCCAAAGGTTGCTGATCCCTGCACTAGCAGCATGTGTCTGGGGTGTGGGTACAAAAATGCCCTTAATGAACACGCCCACTGAACAGTGCTTCTAGAAACTTGGTTATGAAAGGTACTAGCAATCTCAAGGTCCACTGTTACTGGTGAAGGAGTGGAAGTGAGCACTGGGAACAAGTGACATCTTAGAAATTGTAGCCTCCTTTACCTACCTGTATTCTTGTTCTGCAGCCCTTCCCAACTAGG